AGCTGTTGCAGAATTTCAATACGGCGTTTCCACTCGTGAACTGGTGAGGGTGAGTGACCAAATGCCTTCAGCTAGGTGAGTCGATTAAAATGTGATTAGCATCAAATGTCGAAGTTTTACAGAGCCATTGATTTTGGACGTTTATTCACCGCTAAATGTGCCTCATTATAATTTCGTAATATCTCCCTTTCACCCCACAAATACACCCACGTTTCTACCTGGAGGTTTCGGTGACCCACCGCCATCAGATACAAAAGCTTTCTAAGCGAAAGCATTTTCTATTCCTCCCACAATTATTTAAAAAAGGACAGTGGTATTTTTCCTCGCTGAGTAAATTTATTTGTTTTGATCGTTTATTACGTATCAAGACTACTGTTTTCACTTTAATTGAATTTATTTCAGTTAAAGTATTCGACTAAAGTATCGTTTTTACTGTTTTGTCGTTGGTACTCTTGAGTACCTCTTTTTCAACTGTATCTGTTAGTACTTTTGGTCCTAGCAATCTACAGCTCTTCACTTTTGGTCATTGATAATTTTTTTGTTTCTGAGTATCATCACAGTTTAAAAAGAACCCCTCCTAAATGACCGGACAGTGTAAAAAAAGCAGTTGTCAACGTCCGGGTTGTCGTTATCCTGTTGAAAGCGGCATGCAGTGCGACGAGTGCAAAGGCTGGTACCACGAAGTTTGCACGAACTTAACGCCTGCTGCTTTCAAACGGTTCAGTAAGAAGGGTTGTGTGTGGCTTTGTCAACAGTGCTGCTCGGATGCAAACAGCTTGCTAACCGAGGCCATCTCACTGGTTGATGCTGCAAAGAAGTGTTTTAGCAAGCATAGTCGGAACGCGTCAAACAGCACTCGATCTGTCGACACGCAAATCAACGTGAAGGAAACTAAGGTTAGTCCGGTGATAGATGACTCACGCCCGTCAAAGAAGGAAAAGCAGTCTCCAAAGAGGCCTGCCTTAAACAAAAGCTCAAGAAAAGTAGGGTCTTCTGTTCCCCGTCTTCCAGATGGGATCCAACAGGAAACACCTAGAAGCCGCAATCGCAAGGCTCGATCGGTTTCAAACGGTAAACATAACACGACCTCTCAGGTCGTCGACAACCCCCCAAAACCCAACACTAGGTTTGACGCAACTGTTATTGCTTCTACCAGCACCGTTGACGAATGGGTAAAGGTTGTAAGGAAGAAAAGTAGGGATATAAAAGAGAAACCTGCCCCCGTAAGAGTGGTTGAAAAATCGAAAGCTGATCATAGCGACAGATCAGCTATTTTTCATAGAATCAAGGAGAGCGATAGCTCTGAACCTAAAGCTCGTTTTGAGCATGACATTGTACTGATTAGGCAGCTGCTTAATCAACTCATGCCTCAAAATATGACCGGGGTCACCTTGCTAAAGGTGTACAGACTAGGGAGTCTAACGGACTCGAAACCAAATCATTCCAGACTGCTTAAAGTAGTATTCGGCTCTTCGAACGAACGTGACCTAATTTTACAAAATGGACACAAATTAAAGGGTTCAGGAGTCTTTATCCGAAAGGACCTACCGTTGGCAGACCGTGTTAAAAGACGGGAAGCCGAGAAAGAACTACAACATAGGTTAGACGCTGGCGAAAAGGACCTGAAAATTGTAAATTTTCGGGTTGTAAGACTTCGACAGAGAATGATGCCGAAGCCACTCTGGGTGAAGCACGAAGGCACTTAAACAGGCTTCGGATCTGTTACACCAATGCACGAAGCTTACTTAATAAGCGATCGGAACTAGGTGTGCAGATTGACTCTACAAAGCCAGATATAATCGCAGTAACAGAAACCTGGCTGACACAGGCTATAGATAGTATAGAACTTGATTTCGAGGGCTTTACGTTAGTAAGGGCCGACAGAACACAAAAGCGCAAAGGAGGGGGAGTAGCTCTATTCATTAGGAATGCTATCCCATTTACCATTATCGATAGTGTATCCCATGAGAGTGGGACGTGTGAATTAGTTAGTCTTCGCTTAAAATGCAAGGGACAAGAGCTGCTGATTGGTTTGGTCTATCGCAGTCCAAGCTGTGAGGCAAATGAGATCCTGTTAAGCAGTCTCAATACTTGGTCCCAAAGTGGTCGATGTCTAATCCTAGGGGACTTTAATGCACCTATGGTAGACTGGGAAAATCTGCGAACTAAATCGTCGGAGAATTCTTTCGAGCAGGAACTAGTTGATGCGGTTATCACATGTGCTCTAGTGCAACATGTGAAAGAAGCGACAAGGTACGATCCGGACACTGAATCATCCTTATTAGATCTTATACTGACTCACTATGAGGATGATGTTGCGAACCTCCATCATATGCCACCCTTAGGTAAAAGTGACCACGCAGTTTTAACTTTCGACTTCCATATAACTGCCAGTCATGAGGACGCGTCAGTCCAGTCCAGACCCAACGTCTGGAAAGCAAACATACCAGACATCATGCACTCAGCATCGTTAATAGATTGGACAATAGACCCAGAGTCCTCCATTGAAACGGCCTGGGACGCATTTCGAAATTCATACTTAAAAGTTACCACACCTCACATCCCTTGGACTATACCAAAGGGGCCGAAAAACTCACCACCATGGTTCAGTAGGGAGGTCCGTATCCTTCTCCGTAAGAAAAGGAAAATGTGGGATAGATTTAGGTTACTGGGGACTGATGAGTCAAAATCTCAGTATCGAAAGGCTCGGAACACTTGTGCCTCGACCCTCCGTAAGTCTAGAAAATTGTACGAAGAAAAACTTGTTAAGGAATCCATAGAATGTCCTAAACGCTTGTATTCCTATATAAACCAAAGGACAAGGAGAAAAGGAAATATTCCTGCTCTATGGGGAGACAGTACTGCTTCATCATTAGTGGAGGACGACTTTGGTAAGGCTCAAGCGTTCTCGAACTACTTTAGCAACGTGTATACCATAGAAGCGCCCTTCTCGTCAGCGTATACAGATCCCCCCATACATACACTGGATAGCGTGACCATTAAAGAACTCGATGTCTTTGGTCTGCTAAATAAGCTTGACATAGGTAAATCCACGGGGCCCGATGAATTACATCCTAGGCTACTGAAGGAATTATCTAACTTCGTTGCAAGCCCTTTAAGTACATGCTTTAACCTATCCGTTACGCAGGGTCGCTTACCGAAAGATTGGAAAAACGCCATAGTAAGTCCTGTCTTCAAAACAGGCACGAAACACAAACCTGAGAACTACCGCCCCGTTAGCCTAACTAGTGTGGTTGTTAAAATATTAGAAAAGATTATTCGGAAGGAGCTGTTTAAGTATCTCGATAAAAACCGGATCCTCTCGGAGAAGCAGCATGGCTTCAGAATAGGTTATTCTTGTCTCACTAACTTATTAGTGGCTCGTGAAAGCTGGTGCGCTCTTAAGGACCAAAAGCTACCTGTAGACGTCGCCTTCATTGATTTCAGTAAAGCTTTTGATAAAGTTCCGCACAACCGGCTGTTATATAAGTTAAGAAAAGTCGGGATTGGAGGCAATTTATTGATGTGGATAAAAGACTTCTTAGTTGGGCGTCAACAAAGAGTAAGGGTGAACTCAAAGTTATCTAGCTGGGAAACTGTGCTTAGTGGAGTGCCCCAGGGTACAGTTTTGGGGCCAGTGCTATTCCTCTTGTATGTAAATGACCTTCCTTGTCTCCTATCATCATCGGTCTTGCTATATGCTGACGATGTCAAGATATGGAAAACGATACGATGTAAGAGTGATAGCTTAGAACTTCAAAATGACCTGAAGAAGTTATCTGAATGGTCTCAAACATGGCAGTTGCCGATAAATACTTCCAAGTGTGTTGTGATGCATATCGGTCATCAAGGCACAGATACATACACGATGAATAACACTGAGCTACCTGTCGTCCAGACATATAATGACTTAGGAGTTATCGTTAGTCAAGACTTAAAGACTACTGCACACTGCCGTGCAATAGCCGCCAAAAGTTTTAGAACGTTATGGTCAATACGTAGGGCTTTTAGTCATGTCGACGCTAAGACGTTTTTGACTTTGTATACAGTGTTCGTTCGTCCTAAACTTGAGTACTGCATACAAGCGGCTAGCCCCTGCTTAAAAAAGACAGTGAGCTTCTGGAAAAGGTTCAGAGAACGGCGACTAAGCTGGTTCCCGGAATAGCGAAGCTTCCGTATGAATCTCGACTGGCCAAGCTGAACCTTTTCCCGTTGTCATATCGCAGAACTAGAGGCGACTTGATTACAGTCTACAAATTGCTTAGTGATAAATTTGCACCTAACATGCCCTCATTTTTCTTGTCTTCCAAAACAGAGAATTTACGAGGACACTCCAAAAAAGTTCATAAGCCGAGAACAAATTACTTGTCAGCTGACTATCGACTTTCCCATCGAATCATCAACGAGTGGAATTCACTACCTCAGCACGTGGTTGAGGCTCCATCCGTCGACTCTTTCAAAAGAAAGTTGGATCAACTGAGAGACCACCATTGCCAGGACTAACATAGGCCATCGAGCCTCCTGTCCTTCCCAAACTGAAAGTGAAACTGAATTTACATCAGATGGATCTACTGTTACTTGGAGCATCATAAATAAGCATGATAGAGATAAAAGTGTACACTTATTTTCTGACGGCTTTTCCTGTTTCGTCAAAACCAATGGGATCTTATAAGAAGACAAGAAATCCATCTAAGATCAACGTTCAATTAAAGAAACGTCGTGACCCTCATATCCCCACATTATGAATTTGGGATTTACAGGTATGACCTTACTGCCTTATTAACATGTGTTAACATGTTAGACCGTTAATTAATCTAATTCTTTAAGCAATTTACCTACGTGTGGCTTATTCAGTTTCCTACCAGTTTTTCTTATTCCTGTTCCTCCTAGTTCCGCAATATAATCGTAGTTTCATGCATCTCCACTGAATTGTGTCATCTTTTATCTTCGGTGTTTTCACAACTAGAAACGCGTGAAGACATACCCTCCTGCAAATAGTTATGCTGTCAGACACTCGCCGTTGGTCAGAGAAGTTTGTTATCAAGTACGCTACGCTTTAAAAGATATTAAACCTTTTATAGACATCCCTGGCATGATGTTGTCAGTTCTGTACAATTTAAATATCCCAACCCATACAATCCAAATGTACTAAACATAGATGTTATCAATCGTCAAGTTGACCTTACCGGTGGTGCTATGCTCAGTTGCAAGCTGATTAACTCTTCATGGCCCATGTTTCATATGGGTCACCTGAAGGCTTTGGAATATAGTTGTATTCAAGTTCCAAACAAAAGAATGGTCTCTAATACAATAAATATCGACTTCCAAGGTGTGCTCAGTGGTATGGAACATATGGAGTATACTGTTCACCCGAAAACAAAGATTGGTGAGTCCATCAACATTTGTACTCCTCAAATCTCAATTTATTTTACATGTTCCAAATTGTTAACAGTAACACCCTGTTTAGTTTAATAATAGGCGCATTACACGCGTCTTAAATGTCCATTGTATGCGAGACTTATCTTCGACATCCAGACAGAATATGTTTGCTGCATATCGGGTTAATTTCATTTTACATAAACAACCTTAATACAGAACTAGTTCAAGGATCATAGGTAAATGGACGTGACTAGCAAAGAACTTATTACAACTGCACAATAACCTGGAATTCTTCCTCAGAGTGCATACTGATAACAGAGTCCTCGCCTGTCAGCATAGTGTTGGTGCTTGCAAACGTTATATGTCTGAGCGTCATTCACACTGAACTACTTCGGTCTCAAAATCCGTTGTTTTCGTTGATAAATTCCGCCACTTTCTTAGTGCCAATAACATTGATTTCATCAGTTACGTTTCACAAATATTTCGCACGTACTTCTGACCCTAATGTGAGAGTTAAACCCTAATGACCAATCTAGTTGCAATAGTTTTTACATAAACTTGGCTACAATCCATGCCAGAATACTGTGGATTAAAATCGAAGAGTACTATAACTAATGTTATTTGTAAACATGGTCATTTTATGTTATTTGGTACTTGTTTATAATGATTTGTAGCACAAGTGAGGTTTCTGAGGCCATTAGTATGTTAGTTTTGTGATTCAATTAGCTAAAATGAGCTAACGGCATGTTTAGTAAGGGCTTTTTAAGCATTTTCCACTATATTCCTCCCATAAAACATATGACCGTTCACAAACTTACTACTCAACGCCCTATTTTGTGTTATCTAGGGGACTTGAAACATGGTTATTAAAAATGAAGACAAAAGAAAGTCGTCGTTTTTAAACCTAATTTTTGTTAAGTATGAAAGAATAGGGCAAGATATAATGATTAAAAGTTGCATAGTTTACTGCCAGTTACCACAAAATGACATCGTAGGACTAATAAATTCCAGATATCAGACGAGTTTCTATCTATTATGACGCCTATTTATTATCCTCTCATTTTGGTGACTTTTTTAATGAAGTTGCAACCTGATCCGTTAAACTTTTCCGAAGTTCATGTAACTTTTTCTGTTTGCTGTAAAATACGTCAACTCAACCCTCTTGCTTTTAGTTATATGCATAGTTCAAAGCTGAACATTAAGGTATCGTTTCAATAAAATGAAAGTTGAACTACCTCTTGTTCCGAAATACTAAATTTTATTCTTTAAAAATTGGTTTTTGGCAAAAGTAACCTTGCGAATTTGGTGGTACGTCTGATATGAGGGGGCAAGAGTCAAGTATGGTAGTTAGGCCATAGTTTCGTTGTTGATTGACTTACAAAACTTGTATCTAGTCTTTCAAACGACTTTTACTAATATTTTACTTTTTTGTTTATTTTATACATAGGCGTGTTGTTTTACAAGAGAGAAAACATTTTGTTGACTAGTTTTTCTATCTTACGTTGATTGTAACGGGATTACCTCATTACTGCGGTCTAACTGAGTAGTCACCAGTCGATACAACTTCAAATCAATTCAGGGAATTGATTTCACACTCACTTAAACTACATTTCTGTGTTATAACCACATCGTTACTCTGTTCACACACTAGTATTTTGGTAGTATAACTCGATTTTAAGCATATGATTTATGCTGCTAATTTAAATTAAACTGTCTCAGCTATAGTTTCGGCTTAGAATGAACCCAAAGTCATTCCGTAGTTGTTTTAATGTATTGGGATGGTAATTGGTGCTTTCAATATTTTCTTCCAAGATTATATGAACTTAACCCCAACAGATGTTTCCCATTTTGTGTCACTGACCAACAGCATTTGATTTCTCTAAATTTGTTCCTCCATTATACTCCATTATCCAGCATACCGATAAACAATACCCATTTGTCATGCTCTCTTTTACTTAATGCGATTCTGATTTATGTTCCACTCTACTCATATCTGACTATTAAAATGATTTAGTAGATCATCACCAAATCCTCATCTTTGACATAACTATCAGCTTTATTTGTTTTACAGGACTGTTCTGGAGCATTCAATTTCAGTCAAAGCGTTCTCACTTATTGCAATGTCAGCTGTAAGTATGAGTAAGCAAAATGCACATCAGGTACGTTCTGAAATTTGGACGTTTTTTGTTCGATTTCTATATCGTACTGAGATATGTCACGTATTTAAATTTCAATACAAGTAAAATAAGTACTTCGGTCATCGTTTTGTCATTCCATTCTGTACTTTTTACCTTTGTAAATTACAGCAAAATGGACATTGAACAACTGCTGAAAGTGATGTTATTGCGCATACAGTTATCCTAAAAACACCATTTGCATGTATATCGCCTGGTCACTTTTTGATGAATTCTGTGGAACAAAAAAGGCGTCATCGATATTAGACAACAGATCCCATAGATTTTGTATTATTCTTAACTTTAGCTATTGTTCAATAATTTAGGAAACTAAATCAAGTTATTTAATTACAAACTGAAATATTTATCTACTTGGTTGAATTTCGACATGTAACTGTTAACTCTAACCGTTTCACTGGCATTATTGAGAACCTAGCATAAAACATCCTCTTGGTTACCAAGTTGCATTAATTTTTGGTAATATTAGACCCTTAATAGCCATATTACTTAAAATATTTGCTTTTTTATGTGAGATAGTGTAATGTATTGTAAGTTTTTACTTTTTTTACTTTCAACCTTACGTGTTCTCCAGGGTTCATCACTATTCCCCGTTTTTGCTTAATTTTGTAATAAATATTCTTCTAGAAATAACACTTTACCCAATTTGTCAGGGGTTTTTCTCCCAGGATGTCCGCTTATCGACTTAAAATATGCAGATGACAGTCTTATTTGGTGGAGACTGACAAAACCCAGTATTATTGATATAAAGAACCAACATAAGCTAGACATCTATTGAAGTCCAGAAGCCATTAGACAGGTATTTTTTCTTAATATGGGATTCCTCAGTCGCGCATTATCACTACCCCACCAGAGGTCGAATCCACAACCGTCGGTCTCGCTCAACTCAACCCCTAGACCACTGAACCGGAACTCGATAGTCTATATGTTTAACTTCAGTCAGTTGTTTTCGGTGGGTAGCTGCCTCACACCCGATACTTTTGAACTTTACTAGTCACAACCCACCAAAATACAAAGTTTTCTGATGTCCTTGAGCAACAATGCTAGCATGTCTGAGATGTGTTTCTCCTCCTCTGAATGCGAAATGTTGCTTCAGGACTGGGCTGCGTCATCGTCTGATCTAGTGATAGGACATGAAGCAGTTAAGTGCCTCGACCACCAGTTATCTTGGAAGTCTCATCAGTCCTGGTTGGTTGGTGTCCTATTGATTCAAAAAACCCGCTTGGCCCTTGCCAACTCACGTCACTTGTGACGGTGAGATGTCTATTCGCTAACCAAACGGTGTGTATGCTCCTCCGCAGTCCGCTGTATTTTATTCTATGGGTGTGAAAAATGACAATCAAAAATAGAGGATATTTGTAGGTTACATGAGTGGCAAGTGTCTGTCAAGATTTATTCTGGTATTTTGAGACCACTGAGTGACCAGTGCTGAAGTTAAGCATAGGGTGCTGGGTAAATATGGCGAATCGGTTGGTGAGGTGGTGGATCTTCATTGGCTAAGGTGGTTGGGATATGTATTACCAATTCCCGGCCACTGCTTACCTCTATGAGCTATACTGTCTGCTGTGGAAGTGGGGTATAAGGAAACTAGAGTCAGTCAAACCAAACCATCTTATCACTCTTTAAGGTTCTTGACTGTTGATCGGAGCCATGTTGGTAGATACAGACTACCTGGTTGGAGTTCGTGTGATGACTCCAGTCAGTGGTTGGAGACTCTGGATCAGATGACTCCAAATTGTTCACAGTGGTCCAGATGCATCAACTCCTTGCTTTCCTCTCACTCCTGAATTTCAGGATCCCTTCGAACGTACCTTTTCACTATATTTTTGAACCATATTCCCAAGATTCAATCGTTCTTTATATCATCGATACTACATGATCTCGATCTCTTTTTTTATTTTCACTTCGTTGTGATGATGTGGTGTGGCAGATTGAGCCATTACGAATCTGTGCGAAGCCTTATGTTTATGATGTCTGTCTGACACTTTTTGAAGACATTTAATAATGCCAAGCAATACTTGTGGGTGAGGAAGCAATTGAAGTTTTCAAATTATCTGTCTTAAAGCTTTATAATATCTAGGATTACATTCGCTGATAGTGTTTAGGTATCTACTGTATGAAACACCACATAGAAAAATTGTCAAGAAATGGGTTGCAGAGAGCAGCCTTAAATCATTTTTGTTTGTCTATTAGAATATAGTTTGTTTTCTTTAATTTGGTCTTATCTCAGTTATTCTTTCTTTAAATTGTTATATAAACTTCGCTTTCATATAAATGATATATATATATATATATATATATATATATATATATATATATATATATATATATATATATATATTACAATTTGATTCTTTTAGATTGATAATAACTTGTTTTATTTACCTAGGGTCGCGAGGCTTTGAACTGGGTTATTGATTATCGTCTTCCAGCAATCCGTTCATCCCACAGTAATCAACCCAGCGAACTCACTGGTACCAATTTTCCTGAACAACTCAATACACCATTATCGAGTAATGTGCCTTCCTTCTCAAACCCTACTGTTCAAACTATGGATTCACCTTTCCAGACATCCGGACATGTTACTTTAACCTCACCTACTCTATCATCATCATATCAGAGGTCTTCCAATTCACTATTTTTTGCCGACATTCCTAGACATATTCCTCCCAGTTCACAGTTTTCTAAAGATTTTTCTACTCAGTCCCAAAACGATTCCCTGGAATCAACATTAGAGACATTTTCTCGTGACGTCACATCTATTACTGACACCATAGTTAAACGCTCTCAACGAGTAGCACATCTCTTTTCCGGAATTGACGAATATGTAGTTATTCTTTAAATTAAATTTCTAGCTGCCTTTCACATATTTCTAACTTTTCCCCCTCCTGTACATTACGGCTGTTTTTGTAGAATAGAAACGAAACTGGTTCCACTTCTACTCTTAAAACACAGAACTCTAAAGTGCTTAGTTTATCCTTTTCTAATGTGGCCAAGTATGTCATGATTTCTCGTCTCGTAAATAGAAAATTGTCTTCATCTATGGGATTCACATAATTTCTTATACAATTCAGTGTGCGGGTTAAAAATTAAAAGCCATCTTTGATCTTCAATCAGTGTTTGAAATAGTTCTAGTCTATTAAAAGCTAATCCACAAACAACTGATTGTTATCTACCAACTCGTTTCGAATGAAATAAATACTTCTTATAAAGTATATGGATACATTTTTGCTTTAATGTCACTTAACTGTGTCATTTTTTGTTGCCAGCACAGTGAAGTTTAAGTGCTAAATAATTTAAGTTATCGCCTTACTAATTTCGGTATAAATCCAGATCCTATGCACACTATCTTGGATATACTCCCATAATCGACTGGTAAGAAGTGTTGTTATGGGACCTAATAACCCCTCAGTCATTATATTATGACAAGAAAACGTTTAGTTTTTCGACAGGAAATTGAACTTGGGTTTCGTGGTATCCGGAACTCGTCATTAAGGTGTACCTATGATCTTCAGAAAACTGGTACTCCTTGAAGAATTCAATTTTACGCCACCTAGCCGGGTAAAGATTCAGAGAATTGTCATCTTAGATAGAGACAACGGGCGATAACTCTTAAGGATGCTTGGCTACACCCTACATTTTTGAGTTTATCGATATCATAGTTTATATTGTACTTCTCTGAGGTTGAACTCCTATTCAAACCTATAGACATAATTCTGTCAGGTGACGACGCTGACAAGATGCACAGTTTTCTGAATTCTGTGAGGCAAAGACTACATTCAGTTTTTGAGGGAGTTTTGTTCTCTGAGCTGGATGGTTTGGTCGTGGAGTTTTCGTCGTTCTTCTGAACGACATCATCAGCACAAACTTCAGATAAAAGCGAAGTGTTCGAATTTTGATTTTTGTTCCTATATTTGTGCATGATTTTCCTGATTGGTTGATAAATTGGATCGATTTCAATGTGGTTGTTGATTGCTGAGTGCCAGGCTTCTAAAAATTCTCTGGTGTTTTGGGAGTTTCCTCTGCCCAAGATTTCCACACTTTTCCAATCGAATGAGTGTCCGCAGTTGTCCATGTGTATTGATATAAGCGAAGTATCATGGCGTTTGACTGCTAATTGATGTTCATGTAGGTGAAGGGGGCGTTCTCTCTGTCCGATGTAGTGTTTTTTGCAGTTGGCACAATTTATTTTGTAGATGATGTTTGATTTGTCTTCCTTTGTTATTTCATCCTTTGGTTTGCATAGAATTGATTGTAGCGACTTTGTCGGTCTGTTTGCCACACCTATCCCGAAGGTTTTCAGCAGTCTCGTTGCGGTTTCTAATATGCCTTCCAGTGCGTTGCAGTGTGTCCTAACCCTTTTGAACAAAGTGTGTACGCAGTTGATTTTGTGAGCAAGGACACACTGGCAGCACGAAAATACGAAGAGGAATACCTGAACGACGTATTTCAAAAGAACGGCTACCCAATCAACTTCGCCGAAAAATACCAACCGCACGCAGCATCAGAACCTAAGTCAAGCACAGAAATCAACAAAAGGATCGCCCTACCATACATAGAAGGCATACCAGAAACCTCAACGAGACTGCTGAAAACCTTCGGGATAGGTGTGGCACACAGACCGACAAAGTCGCTACAATCAATCCTATGCAAACCAAAGGATGAAATAACAAAGGAAGACAAATCAATCATCCACCTGAGCTACAAATCTTCTCCACCATCTCAACTACATTCACTGCTACACATTTTACACTCGTCAAATTTAAAATGATAGTTCAGGACTGATCTGTATTGACATGGTTTAAGAACAATTAGTGTAATGACTAAGCATAGTGATCACTTTACTGATTTAGGGAGGTGTGTATCTGTTATGATGGACCAATTGGCGATAAATACACAATGCAGATATAAAAGGGTTGTTTAACATTCGGTCAAAACGGTGTAAAAGAAGTTTAACAAAAATGAGGATAAATTAGTTTTTGCATCTGATTTTCTTATGATACAATACATAATAATTGAACTATACATCTTGACTGACAAGAAATCGGAGAATATTTTTCCTTCCCATTGATGAAATTCCCTTATGGTCTAACTCCTTTGTATTTTTTTCGTACATATAAAATTAGGTTTCACCATAGCTTCATGTATTCAGTGTTCACAATCCTTTCGTAACTAAAATTTTTCAATAGACAAAAAATATCCAAATTTTAGAGGAAAGTAAATTTGAAGTGTCAGTAATATGAATTAACTCACTAATTCGTTGACTAAATTCACAAGTATTATGGTCATGATTTGCTCGTCTGTAGATTCAACAGTGGCATATTTAAAGTTTGTCCACTAGTCTGTTCCCGTCTGTAGCTCTCCTAGGGTTACTGCCAGTCCCAAGCCCGGGTAAATGAGGAGGGTTGGGCATGGGGTCGGCTGACACATCCCGTAGAAAACGACCTTGCTAAGAAACGCTAACCAGATTAGACAAATTAAACCATTTAAACTCTGTCATCCGAGTTGAAGGAAGAATTGTGATGCCTCATGATGAAAGCCGAGATTCTTCGGAAGTCACGAGATCAGCGCCCCTTCTAACAACCAGAGCAACAATAATTATATATGTAGATGGAATGTCCGGACAATGTGGGATACTAGGAGAACTAATGAAATAGTTATGGAAATAAGGAGATACAAATTGACGGTACTCGGAATCAATGAAACCCATAGGACCGAAGCTGGACAGAAAAGGATAGATTCGGGAGAGATGCTTCTGTATTTTGGTCACGAAGAATATGTCCCGAACAAAGGAGGTGTGAGAACTAAATAGGTACCACACTACTATCAGTACCAGGAGACGTTTTCAACAGTGTTGCTGAACCGGATGAAAGATTCAGTAGACACCCAACCTCAAGATCAACAGACTGGATTCCGTAGGGACCAGTCGTGCATAGACCGAATCATTATTGAACAATGAATTGAATGGAACTCGCCACTATACATCAACTTCCTTGACTATGAAGAAGCATTTGACAGTGTGGATAGGAGGACCTTATGGAACCTTCGCTGACACCATAGTGTGCCTGAGAAAATCGTCAACTTCATCCGGAATTCATACGATGGGTTACAATGCAAAGTGGTGCATGAAGGAGAGCTGACATATGCATTCCAAGTAAGGACCGGAGTTAGGCAAGGCTGCTTATTACCCTGCTACATCTTCTGGTGGTTTAATGGATTATGAAGACCTCCACATCTGAGAGGAAGCACAGAATACAATGGACAGTTAAGATGGAGTTAGACGATTCGGACTTCGCAGATGACTTGACCTTTCTATCCTATACACGCGGACAAATTAAGGTGAATACAGCCAATGTAACAGCAGCTTCTGCATCAGTAGACTTCAACATACATAAGGGAAAAGGCAAGGTCTTCAGATGCAACATGGAGAACACCAACCCATTAACACTTGATGGAGAAGCTCTGGGAGATGGACACTTTCACGTACCTGGACAGCATCATCATCGATGAACAAGGAGGATCCGATGCAGACGTAAAAACAAGGATTGGCAAAATAAGGACCGCCTTCCTGCAGTTGGGGAACACGTGGAACTCGGAACAAGTGTCAACCAATATCAAAGTCAGATTCTTCAATACGAACATCAAGACGGTCCTACTGTACGGTGCTGAAACTTGGAGAACTACTACAACCATCATCATAAAATTATGAGTATTTATAAACAATTTCCTACGCAAGATACTCAATGTCCGTTAACTGGATGCCATCAGCAACAGCCTACCTTGAGAGAGGACAAACCAGCCTCCAGTTGAAGAAGAAATTAAGAAAAGACGCTGGGAGTGGATAGAACATACATTTCGAAAATCTCCAAGCAGCATCACGAGGCAAGCACTAACTTGGAATCCTGAAGGGAAACGGAGAAAATAACAACCAGAGAACACACTGCGCTGAGAATTGTAAGTAGATGTCAAAGGATGAATAGCACCTGAAAAGGATTGCCCAGGACAGAATTGGATGGAGAATGCTGGTGTGTGGCCTATGCTCCTCCAGGAGTAGTGACAGTCGTAAGTAAGCACTGGTCTGTTACTGAATTTACAATACGCTATTATTATGTTAAACAACTGTTTCACGAAGTATGTAAAAAGGTCGACAACTAGTCCCTTCATACTTCATGAAAGGTATACATTTACTAAGTTTATTTACTAGGATCTGTAATTTTATGTTGTTTTGTTTGTAAATAAAGACTATAATTAGACAGTCTAATCTAAATGGTAAAATAAGGAATACATCCCATTACTTTAGGTCATCCTACTAGATTGCTAGCGCAAAGTGGAGAAGACAATCTTTTAGTATTATAGTTTATGCTCATTATTTCGGGCTAAGATGAATTTTTGTAACCATAGCAGTTGGATAGATAAAACTTGTTTCAGTGATATACTTGTCATTGGTTTTAGAGGACAACAAACGATAGTTGAGTAACTCTTGCTACCATTTGTTTTTATGTCTCTTTCCCGAGTAGTTCTGTAGTAAACCAGATTTTACCAGTCACACATAAACATGGGTACAAGGAGGCACCATATATATATTCGCCACTCGAAACATTCGATTTGTGTGGGGGCTGTGAAACTGCCCGGGCGCCCAAACCGAAGCAGGTTGTTTTCCTAGGGAGCCCCTTCTCGGTCGTCTGACTTAAAGGTCTAATCCACAAGGCAGTGGAGCAACGTAAGGAAATGCAGTCCCATGGTAGCTGGTGACCAACAATTGGTTCATACACCTTTTGTTCTCTCAAGATCCTGGAGCCCATATGCACCATTAGTTTGGAATCAGGGCTTTCCAACCTTCCGTTTCCACCAACCTGGTTAAAGCGCCGGACATTAGCTTTTATTCCTCTCAATTTCGTAAACAACACACACCACGAGAAGGAAGTCAATAGGACTTCCTTAGAAGTAGCTGTATACACGTGGCCATATGACAGCATTTCGACAGGGACAATGGACTCTCCCGACCCTCGGCCATACCAGGGTATTTGAGGGCTGTCAGTTTTTGATTTATGGTAAATCACCATTCACCTACGACTTTATTGTCAATTATACCTTTAATCTTATGATACGTAATCGTGCCTCTTTGTAAATTCTTTTACCAGTTATTGTTAATGAATACCGACTGCAAAAACTTTTTCGATATATATACTGTCTTACTAGACCTAACAGTTTTACAATGTTTACATCATGAAAAGCATAATAAGTTTAGTTATGTTTAATTAATTACTCTAAACTTGAACAAGTAAAATCATGTGATATCCGCAACCCCCGTCATTAAATTTTTTTACTTTTCTCAATCCATAACATGCTGAGTGAAAAACAAAGAAACGAATTATTCCACAATCCCAACTCAAACAAAACAGCTGATCAGTATACCTGATTTTTAACTTTCACGATGACAACTATCTCGGAAGTGGTTCCTCAATAATGTCTTATTTTTGTGTCTAGTATCCCTTTAATAGAGTTATGAATAATATTAAACTTACCTGGTGCTGAATTCATTTGCAGTAGTTGACAACCAACAGGTTCTGGTGGACGTAAATTAACTGATAACTGTAGATCTTTCTAAAATCACAAATAACAAATCTTTCATTTTTTAAAAATATGTATATGTATAATCTTTTAACATTCACAAACTACAGTCAAACAACCAAACGTGCATAACTCAATTCATTTTGTGTTGGTTTTATCAATATTCTCTTTGATGTTTAGAACTGTAGTTGATCAGTCTTTTATTGGCATATGTGCATCTTATATGGATTGCCTCGATATTGCCTTAAGTCAAAAGTATTATGATCAGAGATAAATGGTGGTTAGCAGTGGAATCCAGAATGCACGGTTCGTCATATTTGGGACTCATTAGCTGGATGTGTCTGCATCCCAGAGTTGATGTTTACTCTAGGACTCGTACACAGTACCGTTCGCTTCAAACGCCATAGCGTTATCCACTTAGCTATTGAGTCCAGATAGGTGATAGTTTATGCGCATATATATATATATATATATATATATATATATATATATATATATATATATATATATATATATATATATATAATCATTAGAACTTACCAATCTGTTTGGTTTGTGGTTTTCGGATCTTATTTGAGCACAGTTTTTGATCAAATCAAACTTAGACATATATCTCATTACTTCCTATTATTTGAAAAAGAAACACAAACTTTCATGTCATTTTATTGCAATAAATATATAAGATATATTAAACTTATCCAAGATTTCAACCAAATTCACGGTAAGTTTCCGTATGATTTTATATGTTCGTAGATTATCCAGTTGATGGTGCCTTTCGTTTAAGTGAGTAGTGGCTTAGTGATTAAAATATTTAGCTTCCAGTCGCTGGGTTCCAAGTTAAAACCCCATTCCATATATACTCACACAAGGTGGGTATGAAATTATCTCAACATATATATCAATTCAAATTTAAGAATGTATAATTAAGATTCGTTAGTTTCGAGTGAGATAATTATCAAGCGGAAGTGTGTAGGTTAAAATTATTGAGGAAGATTGCACTAGATATCTAGCCTAATCATTCTAAGCATCAAACTATCAACTCCACACTATTTGTGATGGAGTTTGGACGCTTAAATTTCAAGTTTCAGAGAATTAGGTTAACTCTTCTCATACGAGATCTTGAAAGAGTATAATTCTAAGTGAAAGAACAATATTTTATTGTTTTTAAGTAAAAAGTCAGGTTGTTCTAGGTGTACTTGTGACTAATATGTTAATATTCTCATTGACAAGATTTCCTTCGACATATCCGACATTACATCATGTTCTCTACGCAAAATTGACTTAAAATACAACTCAGATCGAAAATATATCATCAGAAATGTATAGATATTCCAGATGATCTGATCTTAGAGAAATTATGTAGTCATAGACAAGCATATGGAGTCTCGACATATAATTGTCCTACATATTAACGAGTGACTATTATTGAGCAGTAAATTGACCTTCACCTTTTTACTTAGTTACAATAAAAATTAATGGTTGAGTTCATGAGTTGATTGACTCATAAATTCGACTATTAAATTACTACAGTCTCTACAAAAACCCGCTTTCTGATAACAATTAATATTATCAACTTTGTCAGCTACTAGATTTGGTAACGGTATAATAAGAGAAAGAAGTTACAATTTTGAGATTACAGAGTGTATTTCCAATCGGTGTAAATCTGGTTTATATCTTCAAATAAGATAACCTTGGTTGGTAGGTTAATGCTGACATCAAGAACGTTAATGCAAAGATAAAGTGACCATAACATGGTTCCTACTAGTGTTATCGATCTAGTGCTCAAGCAAATTATAATATAAAACCTAACTGATGATCACATTACAATTTTGGAAAATAATTACATCGAATTAATTCGCTAATTATGAACCCCTTAGTAACTATACATCTTTCATAATACATAAAAATACCCGACTATATCTAAATAATTCGATGGAAACGTCAAAATGTTATGTTACATCTATTCAAACTGTATATCACCTATCAAATCTTAGTTTTACTCTTTTTTTCTAAAAAAAATATTCACATTGTAAATCAACCTCACAATACCATCACGATTTCACATTCATTCCTTGTCAGGTGATTACAGTAAAAATTTAACACTTTAAATGTATACGAATTTCTATTGATTGATAAAGTAAATAATAGGCAATGACTGAACATGATTAACTTTTGAATCATCTGTTCGTTATCACCAAAAAGAGTAAAAGTACATTGGTAATGTGTAAATCGACTGGATAGATATTTCTAAAAATTATTTTGAGTTGTATCAGAACTTATCTTCCTGTTGTACCAATCTTATAGCAGTTTGCCATTTCTTGTAGACTTAATTAGATATCAGTACGGAGGTTCATGGAAACTAGTGGAAGTTATTAAAGTCACAGACCAACCTAATTTTGACAAGCATTAAAAAACAGGAAGCCCTTGAGAACTATTATAGAACTCAACAGTGCACATGCACGATCCCATCGGAGATCGAAACTAGGACCTTCATGTCTCACAACAGAATAATTAAATAACCATGGAATCTTATTCTATTTTATCATATATAAACTCTGGTTCCAAAAAAGGCGATAAGTCTGTTCAGATGTAGGTTGACATTGGACTTTGCTCTAATGAGAAAATAATATATTCTAAAAATAATAATTACAGAATTCACGCCAGTTTACAGGCATGAACCAGATAATCAATACGTTACAGCTTATTTCGCTCGATATTTATGATTACTAGTTTATTTCATTTTATTTTTTGTTCATATACATGATACCAGATAAAATTTCTTTTAAATTCAGTGAATAACACAAACTTTATAGAAACGAGTTAATAGTTGGTTTCATAAGTCAATCAAAGCTAGACCACCATGAAAAACATGGAAGCATTGGACCGCTGATTCGTCCTACTATAAGACTACTCAGCAGTGCGCATCCACGACCCCACTCACGGGACTCGAACCCGAGACCTTCGGTCTCGCCCTCGACAGCTTAACCTCTAGACCACTGAGCCGGTGTCCAGCTGTGTTGATGTCTAACTTCAACCAACCCATGAAATTGAGCGACACATCCACCAATGTCTTCAGTGAGTTACTATCTCACAACAGTTATGATCATTTAAATTTTTGTAACTTAATTATCTGAGCGAACCTAATCAGCTACTCATTGTTTCATAAATTCGACCTTAAACTAATTGTATATGATTGAGTTGACAGGTTAATAAAGAATATTCTGATTCTTGTTATGAACTCATTATAAAGTTTCTAATATTTCGTTATCTTGTAGCAATTAGTATTATTACGTACCTATGTGATTTAACCTGACCTTTGAAAAGATGAATTATTCTAATCTTAACAAAGATTAGGACCAATCACACAGGCTTGTAGAAACAGTAATTGCAACAATCTAATAATAATGGTCTGAATAATTTTATTTTCCATTTACCTGAATGATTATCATTATTGCCACTTTGTTGGATTATAGAATCATAATTGAATATGGAATGATAGATCTTAAAAAATAATTACATATCTAGAGAAAATCAATCATCAACAGACATGTTCCAGTAAAATGTGATTATGATATAATTCGAAACTTGATCATCATCTCTCTGTTGACTGCATGGACTTCAAATGCATAAATTTTATTATTATTATTATTATTATTATTATTATTAACCATTCACAAGGTAACGTCTTAAATGAATTGAAAGTGAATAAGATCTTAAATTTAAGTTATATTAATTGAAGTCACTAATAAAATGTTGATCATTTTCTTAGAAATTCATGTAAAAAGTGGGAATTGAATCTTACATTATACTGCTTATCATGTAGGAAGTATTCACGTTTATAAGTTCAGTAATTTTATTATAACATATTTAGTGGTATGCGAAATCGTATGATAATCTCTTGGAGAAAATTCTATTGATTTATGAAATTGGTAAAATTAATTTAATTCATTTAACTAATTCAACTTAATAACTAAATGCAAGTCTCCATACTTGGTTTTGAGTAACGTGTTATGCCTAAGAATTATTGATACTAGCAATTTATTCAAAAATAAACAATTAAATAGGACCTAATGGCTAAAAGTATCTTAACCACTTAAATATTGTTATATAACATAAGAATAACATTAACTTACATTATCTGTTTCGTTTTCCATGAATATTTTCTCCATATTACCAGTGTGCTTTTCATTGGAGTTTTGAGTGATATTAAATTTTTGAGTATAAATGTCACAATTAATATTGGGTGTTTTTGAACCCTAAAATAAGAAACAAATCGAAAAAAAGTAATAACTTATCATAAGAAGTATTCTTGGGACTGGGTTTAGTATTATAAATAATAATGAATGGTAGTCTCACAATATCTAGCACTTACTGAATTTGGAGATATGAACACTTGGGTACTAACTCAGTTATCTGAAAATTTAAGGTTCGATTCCTGGAAAGCTCATGAGTGCAGAAATATGAGGAGTCCCACACTAGAATAGAATAGGCATTCAGTGCTTTCGATTTCTTGATAGCTGTCTAAGTAAAATTAGTCTCTAATGTAAACTATATTCAATTTTTGTTGTTGTGTATCATACTAATGTATGAGATCAGTATTACATCATATTTTCATTGTTGTAAACTGATTCACTTAATTAAAAATTATGTATTAATAACTGCTAATAGTTGCTAGTGAGTATATAGCTCAAGTCTATGAATGCTTTCACCATGTGTATATTTAAAATAAATGCGAATAGTTTAATCAGTTCATATTTGAATTGAAAAACAAACTTACTGGATACATCCACTTTTCAATATACCAATTCTCTTCAATGAACTGTTTTCTACAATAATTTGCATTACACGTAATCTCACATTTTTAAGATTTCAGGGAGTTGTTTCTTCATTGTATTTTTAATACTTTATTCAGTTATTATTATCTAGTCAACAGGCGTAGAAATTTCATCGCTTTGTTAACCGATGTATTCAGTAAGGCTGAATTAATGATGATGACTAACTCAATTCTTCTGGAAACAACATTATCTAATAGTGTGTTTATTTAACACCATTTAATTAACTCACAATTGTGAAATTATTCCTATTTTATTCTTTAAATTGTGTAGATCAATAATTGCTTGTTTTTAACATGATACTCTACATACATGTGATTAGGGACTATAATTGAAAACCCTTATATGGTTTCAGAATTAAAGATGATGGATTGATAAATACAATATGTATACTCTCTTACTACTTTCTGTAAGTTAGTGTGATAATTTTCTCATCAACCATCTACTTTATGAAAAAGTACTAACATATAAATAAACATAAAGTTTAACATAGAAGGTCTTAACTTTCTAAATCGACTCTAAATGATAATTGAGTGGACATTTAGTGCTCCTAAACGTTGATTTATTTAACAATCTATTGCCATTTATCTCATCATTTAATCAACTTATTAAAGTAAAGATAAATATATAGTTAATTATAATGATGACTTAATCCAAATTAATAATGCACCGTTTATGTGTAGGAAATATTATTGACTTTTATTTGTTGAATATTCTGTATTAGTGATTGATAGGTCAATTTAATAATCAATCAGTTTAGAGTAATTAGTCCTATTTATAAAGTTTGATCGAGAAATAAAATGACGGATTTGATCTGAGAAATGTGATGTATTTGCTCTTTACATTTCAAATAATCTGTTCGTACATATACATATAAACAGAACATCGAACTGACATCAATACAGCCTCGAAAACATTGTATAGGAAATGCTAATGACGAATTCTTAAGTTTATAGTAACCATGGTTAACCGGAAATTCAAACCCCATTTATCTGTACAGAAATAGTTTGTCGTAACCATGAATTTGCCCTGGTAATCTTTAAGCCGTTTTATAGCTTAGAGTAATGAGACAATTTCCTATTTTTTTTCCATGCTATGTTAATTTTCTTGCTCCTTTATTAACAAAATCAATCAGTTGCTCTGTATTTTTTTTAGATTCATTCGGGATTTGATTCCATTTAGTAATTATAACTATGTAACCATCTTAATCAATAAATAATTAACTACCAACCATTTGTAGCATCCTATTCAAGTCTCTTTTCTACTCAGATAACTATATCAAATAATATCATATTGGTAAAATAAACTTTGTATAAGTCGAATATTGTTAGTACAAGTTGATTCGTATCAGAGGGGGGTTTGTGAAGATTTCAGTCATTTCAATAGTTGAGATCATGAGTCAATTGGAACTAAACAACCGTGTAAAACCTGCAAGCACTGGATAGCCGTTTCATCCTATTGTGGTCTAGTGGTTAAGTGCTCGCACGTGAGACCAGTAGGTCCTGATTTCGAATCTCCGGAGGCGGGGTCGTGGATGTGCACTGCTAAGGAGTCCCATACTAGGACGAAACGGCCATCCAGTGGTTCCAGGTTTTCCATAGTGGTCTAGCCTAAATTGACTCATGATTTCAACCATTGAAATTACAAGTTGATTCATAACATAGAAGTTATTTAAACTCAATAATAATACAAAATCATAAATAAAAATCCTGAAATCTATCAAAAACCAATGCCAAATTTATTTACAAAACTATCGTATTTTTGGTAGGTAACTCAGTCTAACTAGCTACAAGTAGCTTGTCCTTATAAACTTGAAATTATTTTGTGAGAAATCATAGACAAAATTTGTTTTACTATGTGTGCTGTTTTATAGAATTAGAAGTCAATGATTACATAATAGTTTTTTTTGTTGTTGTCTATTTCTCATTTCAATAAAATATGCAATCCAAAGGTCCAACACTTTTTCTTATTAATTAGTGTAATGAATAATGAATTTAAGAATATCGAACTAGTCAGTATGATATTTATTTAGAATAATAATCTTCTGAAATTATACCTATCCAATTTTGTGTACACATATACAATACTGTAAATGTCATCCATTCTTTAAGAGAAACCTATGAATGATTATCATTGAATTGATTTCAAAATCTCTTTATGTGAAAACTAAAACACAGAATTAGTTAGTGTATTATTCATCAATAATTTATAATAAACTAATTTGGATTGTGTTATAAGAATTACATTTGGCCTAATACTTATAAATACCACGTATAACTTACATTACATCTTGTGCATTAAGAAAGTATTTACGTGTAATTTCTTTAGTAACCTATGACTAACATATCATATGATGAATATTTATAGTAATTGATGTGAAATGCCCAGAAGTATGATATAAACTATTTCATTAGGTCATATAGGAATGTTGATCACATGAAACATGGGAAATAGTTAGGACATTAAACAAGATTAACTAAACAACAATGTTGATTTTGTAGTGGTTTTTAGAGCATATGTAAATTTAGTGTTTAATTGATGTATTACGTAGAAATACTCTTAATTAATCCCAAACAATTACATAGAATGTTAACAACTAAATAATATGGAAATCTTATGTCTAACAAACATTAATAAATAACAATCACGGTCTCTTACAATTGACTGATTACTGGATAGTGACCAAATGTCATGTATGTCAAATTCTTATTAGTGCTGATCGATTTTATCGATCAAATTGCAAATTGACGTCAAAATCTACTTAAAGTAAATATTGGTAATATATCGATCATACCGTCAGAGTAATATTTTCCAAAACTGTTCTAATTTATTTATCTGAAATGATTACTACCAAAGATCAGTTTAGATTAGAGATCTGTGTATACTAGAGGTCGATAGTAAGATTAGTGTTTGCCAACTACGAGCAATAAAGTAGTTTATATAAATGTGTATTGATTCAATTTACCGTACGTCATATTATCACAGACTGATAAGATTACAGAGATAAGAACATAAAGATTAAATGTAATATCATCAAATGTTATAAAAATCTAGGCACTTAAAAGTGTTGAATGAAGCAGGGAAACGAAAGTATAAAGTGGTATTAAAACTCTAAATTTAGGAGAGATAAGTTAAGAATGAATCTTCACTGCTGCTGTCGTTTTTTGAGATAAGTCAACTAATTCATTTTGTCATAGATTATGAGTATCTCAGAGACATTAATCAGAAAGTTATAGCTTCCTGACACAGCTTAGATAAATAGCCAATTATTTGGTCCAGTGTCTTGATTTAATCTCCATTTTCTTTTTAAACTCTTCTACAGTATAACAATTTTATATCCGGTTGGATAACTGATAAGGAATAACAAATTTCAACCACTTTATTCGGTGTTAGTAACTGCAATGTGTCATTTTTTACCTTCCTATTTTCTTGACAATGATTTTGATCGAATTCAAATATTTCATCAGTTTGCTGTACTTATTGTTCTAAATTCTTATCTCAATTTGATGGGTATTTTATATCAACCTATGAAACATGCAATGTTTACGCTACCTTTGCAGTGTTAGTCTTTTCGGCTTGATTTTCGTTTGAGGTACCGCTTAAGTCCTAAAATACATAGATTTTATCATACCTCCTATTCTTAAAATTTCATGTTTAACATAAAATCCTTGCCTACTTAAATTTGGCAAGTAATATAAATACTCTAATGAATTATTCGCTTCTCATTTCCATTTGTATAAATAAAACTCCATGTAAACTTGTCCCTTAAGCTATAAAAATTAATTTTATGTGATATTTGATATCAAAAAACTGCTTTTAAAATTTACTGGCGATTTCAGGAATGTTTTAATCTAAACGAGGTCACGAAATGCAGGTACATCCAGCTGCCGAGTCCCAAATAGGACGAAACGCGCGTCCTGGATTCCACTGCTAGCCACTATCCATAATTGCTTACAAAAAGCTTGTGAATTAAAGCAATATCGAGGCATACGCACAGTATGCACATATGCCAATAACAGACTGGTCAACTGCAATCTTAAACCTCAATGGGAAGATACAAGCCAAAGAATACCAAGTGAATTTAAATTCTCTTCAGTTTGAACTCTCATGTCACTTCACATAAATATCCAGTACAATAATGTATGAAAGAATTGTTCAGAAAAACAAACTCTTAATGAAGACACACTGGAATTAAATTCATATAATATTATTTGTGTATCTGATCTGTATTAACTTTAAACCACTGTCTAGTATTAATGAAATCGGGGATTATACTGAAACATGTTACGCAATTAAAAGCAAATTGTTCACGAAATTATGATGAATTTACTTTAAAAGTAACCGTTGTTTTATCCTATAACGGATCATTAAGTTATACTAAAGGAAGCTTTTGAATAGTCAAACTGAGATTAAATTGTTTGTTGAACTATAGGTTTATTAGTTAGATTTTCTCTTTCATTCCCGATAGTTCACTATTATCTACTATATAATTGAATTTTCCTAACAATAGATGATTTTATTCGTCATTTTCCCGCTGACATTAGTTTCGATGAAAACTATCTTAACAGAAACTAAATAAGAAAATTTTTCGTAAACTCTCTAATTAAATTTAAAATAAAGATTATTTCTTTACTTACCAGCTGGATATCTTTACTCCCACTATTCAAGATATGCTCAGACCATAACGTTGTAAACAAAGGTGATTTTTGATATGAATAATAGTGATAATGATAACAATAATAGTAATAGTAATAATAACAACAATAATAATGAGAATGGTTATCATAAGTGTAACAAATATTCTTTTTTCCATCGTTCATACTATTCACTGAAGTATTTAGATCAATTAAAATATCGGAATGTATATTATTACACGCGGATAAATTAATAATTCCCCATTTAGATTTTGTTCTGGATTGCTTATAATCAACTTTTTCCAGTTTAGCTCGTTGAATCGTCTTACTAATAGCTTGAATATTTATAGAGATTGTTGTGTTAAGGGGATTTGATGATTTTGCATGACTTGTACTACTTATATTAGTAGGAGGAGGAGGAGTATTGTTCTTGTTGTTGTTGGTACTAGTGTTGATGTTTCGATTAATAACAGGATTGTATCTTGTAAAATTGGAAAGTTTACCGCAAGTTATCCTGTAAAATAAAGAAATAATTGAAGTAGTATGCTAAGTTTTTTCATAAGTTTACTGAATATGTTTGTAAGATAACACTCTTTGAGTGACTTCAAGTGATAAGTTTTTGGAGATAGCTTTATTCAAAGGCTGATATCAACTAGATGACTACTTAAAACCAGCGATTACTGGATGGTTATTTCCTTTCAGTTTGAGATTCCTAAGTAGCTAGCACTCATGATCTATCTTTATGCAAATTCTAGAAGATTCAGGCCCCATGTTCAACTCGTCAAATCGTAGACTCATCATCTGCAATCGATTGGTTCATATTTCCAAATTCATTTACTTCTAGAGATTTTATGATTATTATAGAATGTCACTGAAGATTTCTATTTCACTTCTTATTTTTTCTTAACTACACTATTTACAATTTTTTACCAGAAACCATACGGTGCATACTTTTTCTGTAATTTTTCCTTGACCATAGATTAATATTTGGAGTTTAGTATGATCTAACAATTAGTACTGGTATCAACAAAACAAATTGAATTAACTAACAAGCGGTATTATTAAGTGGAAATGGACAATGACTGGCGGTGGAATTCAGGGCTCATATTTTGTCCTACTTGGAACCTGTCAACTAGAGGTGCCTATATCAGTCCTGATATTCACTTCGGGACCTGGATCTTTTTCTTGAAACGCCAACACTCTACCCACTTAACTACTGAGTATAGTTAGTCACAGGTTTTTGAAAATTTGTTGTGGTCTAATTGTGACGGTATGAATTGTTCTTTCGTGAGTGTTGAGAACCACAATGACCAATCTCTTATGGAGCATGTGCGCGCTGTACGGATTGCCTCAATATTCCCACTAGTCACGAAAACTGTTAGCCAATATCTACCTCTATTTAATGATTTTAATGACTGGTAGCATTATAGAAGCGATATGCTCAGAATACGCATATACCGAAAAATACCGATCAGTCCAACTTCCTAAAACTAACAACAGGAAGATTCAAACACTTACGACTGAACTAAAACAGAATTACTGTTATTTTCTCAAACTTTAAAAATGTCTAAGCTTATTGTTGTCATAAATGAAATGGTTATAACTTCGTACACAAACAAATTAATCTCTTGTCATCTAATTAAAATTCAAAAAACAGATAATTCAATGCTACAAGTATATTCCTTTATTGTTTATACCATTCACGAAATACATCCTCAGGTAAACCAGTGTCGCAACAAAACATTAATCTTATTGGACTGATAAACTATGAACGTGATTATGTCTCCTCAGGAAAAATTATAAATTTCATTTGTATACCATGTGCTACCTGGGTGCCCGAACCGAAGCCGGTAGTTTTCTTAGGGGGCCACACACCGATCCTTTGGCCTAAAGGTTTGACCCACAAGGCAGTGGAGCATCGTGAGTATATGCAGTCCCATGGTTGCCGGTGACCAATGATTGGTTCATACGCCATTTGTTCCCTCAAGATACTGGAGCCCATATGCACCATTGGTTTGGAATCCGGACATTCGCTTTCCGCCCTCACATTTTCGTAAACAACACCCCCGCCACGAGAAGGCAGTGAGTAAGACTTCCCTGGCAGAAGCTATATACGCGTGGCCACGTGAGAGCATTTCGAGAGGGAACTGTGAACAATAATAGTATGAATAGACCTCATGATAAGCGTTTAAGTAAATAAACACATTGGTTAAACTCTTCATTAACAACTTAAAAGTGACTATCAGTTAGTCAGCTTCCAACTATCTTCAAATCTTAACATGTTGGTCAACAAAGTTAACTAGAATAGTCAAAATTTTCTATGTCATTATAAAATTGCAATATTCAGAACGCTTAGTCTGATAGTAAAACATTTAACATGATGTAGATTTATTTGAAAAACAACAAATAAATTTCAAGACTAATATTAGAATAGAGAATATTCTTTTCGATAACTTCTCCTCAGGTTCTACAATTAAATTAATAATCCGACCTTTAGTAGTCAAATGTAATTGTCTTTATTCACAAATCTTTATATTATTATTATTATTATTATTATTATTATTATGCTTTAAGAGGTATTTCGTGAAGTTCTAGTGATAAGCAGTGACCAGTGGAATTCAACCAGGTCTGATGTGACATAGTAACTCACCGAAGATAATGGTGGATATGTCGCTCAATTTCGTGGATTGTTTGAAGTTAGACATTAACACGGTTGGATGCTAGGTGAATGGTCTAGTGGTTAAGAGCTCTCGTGCGAGACTGATAGGTCGTGGGTTTGGATCTCGCGCGGTGTGATCGTGGATGAGCACTGCTGAGGAGTCCCACAATAGGACGAAACGGCCTTCCAGTGGTTCCAGGTTTTCGGTGGTGGTCAAGTTTCAATTGACTCATGATCTCAAAATTATTATTATTATTGTTATTATTATTATTATTATTATTATTATTACTATTGGTTAAACATCATGATTAATCTCCCCAATACTTGATTCACTTACTTCTCATTCATCCCACCTTATTATGTCTTACTAATCATTTTTTACACAAAATAGTCTCTCATTAAACATTTGATCGAATTGTAATTGCACTATTATTTCTCTCACTCTATCTAAACCATATTCATTCCAATCATGGATCTTAAATTCCCACTTAGATGAGTTAATTCAAGTTAACATTCCATATAAGTCATGTCAACATTAACAATTTTATTCTATCTTGTTTATTTTATCTGACAATCCTAAATTTCAATAGTTAAAATCATGATTCAATTGAAGCTAAACCACCATGGAAAACCTAGAAACACTGGATGGCCGTTTCGTCCTAGTATGGGACTCCTCAGCAGTGCGCATCTATAATCTCGCCATCCCCCCTTGCAAGATTCATGATTTTAACTATTGAAATCTTAAATTCACATGCTTTAACTTTAAATGATGTACTTTACCTTTAACCTAGACACTTTTCAGATTATTAATTTGGATCTATGAATTGTGGAACCTGAAGAGAATTTATCGACAAGATTATTCTTCGTTGAAATATTAGTCTTTGAATAAGATGCGAATCATTAAACAAATAAATTTCATATTAGCAAACAAACTTACGATAAGACTAAAATTGTTATACTATTATTATTATTATTATCGTTCTGATTATTATCTTGCATTAAATTTGTACAAATTGATTTAGCCATAATTAATAATTCATCATATGGACACATTGTATAATGAATTTGATTTAAATGTTCATTATGTATTAATATAGTATATCGTTCAGGACTACAATATGTACAATATTTTTGACAATATTTTATATGTTTTATCTTATTTATATTAAATTTATTCACTGATTGTATATGATTAAATTTCCGTTTCATTGTTTTAAATAGAAGGAATCCATTACCAAGATTTACTAGAAATAAAGAAAATATGAAATAAATAAATAAATAAATAATTTGAAATGAATTAAAAGAAGATTTAAGTAAAACAATACCAAATGAATTAACTTCATCCCATTGCACAAGCAAGTGACTATCAGGACTCAGTAATTAAGTGGATAACGCGATGGCGTTTGAAGCGAACGGTACTGACCTCGAGTCCCAGAGTGAACATCAACTCTGAGATGCAGGTACATCCAGCTGACAAGTCCCAAATAGGACGAAACGCTCGTCCTTGTTTCCACTGCTAGCCACTATCCATCTTTGCTTATGATGTTGTTTTCTTTGTGTGTTTTTTTTCATAAAATGGGGACTGTTTATTATTATTATTGTTATTATTATTATTATTACCTAGCTCGGTTTGATATTTAGTTGCAACAGAAGCTGAAGTCAATTTGCTGACATCGATCCATTTAGGACGATGAATTTTTTGACCACTGAAATGTAAAGTAAGATTATCGCAAACAAGAGCATGATCAGAGTCCATATCGGTACTTCAAAAGGAGCGGTAATTTTGTACACAACAACGCTAGTGGTAGCTGATCATTATGTTATCAATTTGAGTGTATTATTATTATTACTGGCTTTATTCAATATTATATTTTTGGTACAATATAGAATTCTCAGTATAATGTATTTCAACAAGTTTCTTTTTCTTATTTCTTGATCGATCCTTGAGATAAATATTGAGTGGTCGCCAGTTAGATGTTAACAGTTCGGGAATCGATATCTGAATAATATACATATTTTTTCGATGCATATTCCCAGCAACCACAGTGTATTTGATTGGACTGTTTTGTAACTTGTACAGTGAAATGTAGTAAATTTGTCACAAACGCTATTGAATAGGTTATGAGATTAATTGGCATAATAATGGATTAAAACAGACAAGAAAACAGATAACTTGTTGAAATATCCAGGTGGCAGGAACAGATAGTCCAGATATTCAAATAGGCCGCATGGAATTTATATCAACTTAGATGAAATCGATGTTAGGTATAGTAAGAAGTTCATTTGATATCATCATGTTATAATTACATTTAGCACTATTTGTATAGTATTGTATTTTGTATTATTGAACAGAAATTTCCTATATTTTCGAGATTGTACTAGTTTGAGTTTATTTTGTTTAGTTGTTTAGAAGGAAATGATTACCATTGCAGTCATTGTGGGTTGTTTTTTTTTTACCACATATGACATATAAAAGCACCATTTATTCTTCACTTATTAAGTCACTTTTTTCTATTATATCTAGAGAGGAAATTTCATTTCAACTAAGTAATTTTCTTTATTATTCTACTGACTGATTCACTGTAAAGAGCACTTCAACAAATAAAAGATGATTCAGTCAAGCGATTCATTATTCGTAAAACGTTTGTCGAATGGAAATATTTAGAACAATTTGTCCCTTTGATGAATTTCGATAATGCAATATGAAGATGAGGTTTATCAGAATTATGTGATATATTTGCGCAATACATTTCGAACAATCCGATCACACAAGTACTTGTTAAGAACATTTATACATGAAAATTAAAAGGTCAACTAGACAGGTTAAAGGTAAGCCATAACAAAGAAAAAATAATATTAAACTACACAAAAACAAATGTGATTACCACTCTGGATAATAAATCAGTATTACCGGGGTAGGTTAAGTGTAAAGGGAGGGGTTCAATTACCGTATAACCAAGGCTTCAATAAACTTTAATATACGTCCTTGAAGGCTATTGAATAACACTACAAATGCTGACTTGATATCAACCTTATGACCAGTCTCAATCAAATGTTTCGCAATGGAGGATGATGTCTGTCTATCCTGTAATCTTTTTTGACCATTGGAATCCATTTGTTTCTGCAGCCATTTTGGTATGTGTTCATCTAAATATATCACATAATTCTGATAAACTTCTCATTGCATTATCGAAATTAATCAAAGGGACCAATTGCTTTAAATCAACATTTTGTTTATATTTTTCTTCCATTTATAAGTATATTAATGTTGCTGTCTTATTTTTCATCCTTCAAATTTACAACACATCCGAACTAAAAGCTATTCTTATTAAGAGCAGATATAATGAATAAAATATTTAGCATTTTCAAAATTTTAATAGTTGAAATCATAAGTCAATTTAAGCTAAACCATCATGGAAAACCCGGAAACACTGAACGGCCGTTTCGTCCTAGCATGGGATTCCTCAGCAGTGCGCATCCATGATCCCGCTCAGGGAGATTCAAGCCCAATACCTATCAGTTTCGCACGCAAGCGCCTAACCACTAGACCACTGAGCTGGGCGGCATCCAACCGTGTTAATGTCTAACTTCAACCAATCCACGAATCAACATTCTAAATAATATTCTAAATTTTAAATTTATTGTAAATAGTCATTAAAAAGTTTCTTTTATGTTTTGTAACCGAGAAAAATGATATTCAATTGTCAAATCAAAAGTTTTTCTTTTAACAACTAATTCACTCTTGAATAGTTAAAAAGTGCCTAGTTCATGACGTTACAAATGTTTTTATCTCTATATATTTAGCAGGATTATTGAAATTAAGAGATTATTCTAAGAAAATCAATTTTGATTTCGCATTATATTATATTAATTATTTTCTTTCGATATAATTTAGTAGATCAAGTATAAAATCTGGCTATTAAAGTAAACAATCTGATATATTGTTCGTTTATTTAATTGGTGCTCTCTAACAAAGAAACTAATATTTCTTCTTTTTAAAATAAAAGTTCTAAATGACCTTAGTTTGAATCATTAACAAAGCACAGAGTCTTGTTTCATAACAGATATAAAACGATAGTAATCAATGACAAATATCAAACCAATTTATGTTTAAAGAATAGGCCTTATTATCTAAAGTCAAACATAATATAACTGTACTTTTATTTGCAAATATATATATACTCTATCATTCAAAGAATCATAATCTCCACTTCAGTATGTGGTTTACTTTATCATATAACCAAATTAAATAATCTGATTTTAACTTACCTTCAATTCGAAAGACCATTCTCAAAATAATTTGAAATGAATTAATGTTTTTGTATCCTTAATTCTACCATATATATAGACATACTAATGGTGGGCGCAGTAGAATTAGGACAATATTGGGAACCAATCCAAACATGTATTCTATACTTTTTTTTCATTTAATTTAGCGTATTATTATTATTATTCTATCACCATCATTTTTTTATGTCTATAAGTGATTGAGTCAAAATCTAGGGTTTCAATATTTTGTTTCTCTATTTTTATTAGTAGACTTATTATTCGTCTCCTTCAATTTTTACTAAAAGATGATGAATGTAAAGTAGTGTTATTTTAACTTCATGAAATATCATATAGTTTGTTTGTTTGTATTGGATACATATATAAACGTGTCTATTTATATACATGTATATGTATGTCTTAATTGATCATCTAAATGAATTACTACTTTATATGTATGTCGACAGGTGCTTAATACTCCCATTTAACTAACTGAGTTGATTTTCCAATCACCTACAAATTATCATCATATATGCACTGTGTTTATCTAACGTTATATAGTTTAGATAAGAATTACTTTTTTGTATTATCATAATAGATTATAGTAATAAATAGAATTTTTATTTTGTTGCCTTGCTCTCTAGATCATTTGTTTGGTCAAAAATGACATGAATGTGTAATATATATATATATGTATATAAACACAGACAGGAAGTTTTTACTTTTTTTTAAAAAAGCCAAACTGTTAATGAGAGTACAATTAAGAATCAGTAATACATACCAACAATTATGTATGTTTAACTATTGTCCATGAAATAGATAAAACTGTATAATTTAATTCATTCCATTATTATACAAAGACATAATTTGTAGTTATGGTTATAGTGAGACATCAAAATGATTATAAGAAGGAAGATATAATTGCCACATATACACATAAATATATATCTAGTAGATATTCAGTACTAGTAACTAGAGCTATATGTTTTCATTTTGGTTTTATTTCACATACACACACACACACAGGGGGAGAGAGACACACACACACGTATATGCACTATTCACTATTCAAATAAATTGTAACTCGAATAGAGATCATACTGTTATGATTAATTGTGTATTTTTTTATTTTGTGTTTTTCATTTATCAAAAAATAAATTTTCATCTACTATATTATTAATATGATTATGACTAGTTTTATTATTATTTTCCATTAAGTTACATATAGTCGTTGAAGTGTACTCTTATAAACTATACCAGTTAGTGATGGATAATTGTGATAATAAAATGGATATGTTGAGGTTTACTAACATGGTAACGAGTTATTAAACAAAGTTGTAATAAATAACTAAAACATGAAATTTTATTTTATATTATAATTAATTAATATGATATTCTATATATACGTTGTTTTTAATACATCTGTATATAATCCAAATGCTTGTGACTTAATGGGAACATTCAAGTAATCCATACTGGATGCAAATATGCTAAAAGAAACTGATCCGTTGAACATCATGATATCAAGGGATAGATTTGAACAACCAATACAAAATGACTTTTATGATGAACTGATAACATCAAAAGTACCACTGAAAATTGTAGATCATGTAACAATATGATACTGATAACCTACTTATCTAATCACTTGTTTACTTTATTACTTACTTTTATAGAACACCTAAACTATTGCTATTTGAATGTCTACAAGTTAGTGACACATTGCTTAGTGAGCCAGAAAATATTCCAGTCAGTTCATCATTGAAATATATGCAGCTAATTAGAATAAAAACACTATTCCTCACTATAACGTACCTTTGTTATTATGGATGGATTGTTGTCATATCATATAACGATGTTGAAACTATGTATTACTGTATTCCAACTGAATAGTTTGCAGATAATTTATTCATCATGAATGCTAAAGCGGATTGTGATGCGCAGCTCGATTAGGAGGATGGAACTGCCCTAGGAGTAAATCAACTGCTAAAATGCGAATATATAACTGTTCACATCTACCATGTGTTGTGGGAGTGTGCAATTTAGCATGTGTGAGGAAACTTGTATAAGAGGAGAAAAAGATAACCGGACAACTCAGTAAGCACATAGGATACACCTAAATTTATAGATTAAGATAACAGACACCAATTAGGAATAATACAAGAGTGAATTTAGAATAGTATGGCAATCTAAACTGCAAGTTAGTAGAGTAAGATTTCAAATGAGTTATATGATCTTATGTCAGATAATATATTTAAGAAAATTTTATATACAAAGTCACTCAACCAAATAATCATATCACTATGACTTCAAACAGTTTTTGTGGAAGATTATTTGAGGAATAGAAAAGATTTTAATGATCTCAATAATCATATGATTATCGTACATTTGGTTATATTCAGGAAATTCTCAATATAAAATATAGCAGATTATTACAAACTACTACTTGTTTAAAAGCTAATTGTAATTCAGAGTAATGAATCCCATTAATAAATTGTGACGAAAAAGATGAAGTTGATCTGTGAATTGTAATTAAATTTATCGAAATATTTGAGGCAAATGCATCACATTTTTTCAGACCAACTTTGTCCTTAATTATAATTAATCAATGAAAAACTGTAGATTGTAAGACCAAGTCGATTTGACTCGATGGAAACTGAGTAGCTTAATATTTCAACTCAGATTACTTGATAACGAAATGAATTAATGGTGAATTCTAAATTTTATCGGCTTCCTACAACCTACATCCTCTTAAAGGAGGCTCGAAAAGCTCAATGGTAACGTCACTGACTATGAAGCTGAGTGATACAACTTCAAATCTGACAAGGACCACTAGTTCCTTCAAGACTGAAGGTTCACCATATCGACCAGTACCTATTGGCGTGAATTGAAAGAAATTCAAAACATTTTTTGGCTTTTCTCATTGTTACTGGTTGCGTAAGAATAAAAGCGGGAATAATGTTTGAAATTGAGTAAATATACAAAATTTTTAGTGTTATTTATGAAAACAGAATAGGACCAGAAATTAAAATTGAGCAAAATTTTGGAAAAGAAGCGTAAGCGCAATTATGTAGAAGCTCAGTGGTAAATTCAATGACTGAATAAACTTTTATGTGAACATACATTAAGTTTATTGATACATATTTCTACGATTTCTATTGTTTGTAAGAGATGAATTCTGAAAGTATGGGGTATGTTCAATTGAACGCTATGAAAAACCTTGAAAGTTAATTTTGTATTGATTTCGAATATGAATGTAACCATTGAACAATACAATTGAATTGTAATCATTCTACTCATGTTTAGTATATGATACTGATTAAATGTTACTACGATGATCATCTCTTTTTTTAGATGAAAAAATTTGTAGCTATTACGAACTAAACGTTTCACATTAAATCTTCTGATTTCAAATACAATAGATAAAAACTGAGTTTTAAATGAAAACGATGAATAGTTATATCGTCATATCATGCCTGACTCTTTGCAGTGTGATATGTAAATTTGAATTCTTCAATTAAAATTTTTTCACCTTACTCAATATATCAAAACTGTTATCATTTCCTATGTTTTTTTAGACTATCATGGCTAGCATTGTCATCATTATATATATATATAAATATATATATATATATATATATATATATATATATATATATATATATATATATCTTAATAATCCTATTAACTACTGACAAAAAGATAAAGAAATTGAACTATCCATAAAAATTACTAATACACATCATCAAAAGCATTCATGCAGAAATAAACTTTTCACTGTTAATTTCTTTAATACATACACTTTTATAAATAAACACCGTTTTATTTTCGATGTGTATATAGAAAGGCCCCATCAGCTATAGACAAACACTTAAATAATATATATGTATATATGAACATGTTTCAACATAATAAAAATTTGTGTTGCCTGAGGTCTGTATAGTCGAACAAATTAAGTACAAATCATTTATTCTTCATTGTCTGTTTGGGATTTGGACATTAGAATAGTACGATCATAAATATTCAGACACACACACACACATACATAAATAAAGTTATATACATATATGTATGTATATACATATCAATTTCCGTATGAATGCTATATGTTATTGTAGACTGTTTTCTTATATTTTCATGTGTATTATATGGTGTGCATCTATGCACATGATGTCGAATTAAATTAACAACAGTGAAATATTGTTAAATAAGACAAAATTGAAAGTTAACTTCTGCCTTACAGTTATTTTGTAGTGTGTGGTGAGAAAATTGTTTCTATATTCAGTTGATGAATCATTTTTCATTTTATCCAACTGCCATCAATATTACTACCACCACTAATACTACTACTAATAGTAATAATGATAAATTTTACCATGTTTTTCCTATTTTGTCGTATTTCTCTCTCACTCTCTCTCCTTTCTGCCACATTATTATGGCTCAAAAAGATAGAGGAATTCATTTTCTATTCAGTTGATTCTTTTTTTTTTTACTCGACCAAAGGATTTTTACATATAAATAGACACACCCATATTACTATTATCATCATTATTATTAATATCAGCTTAACACAACGCAAACAAACATGTAAATCATCGGTTTGCAATTGTAACAGAAGCACGCACGTATTTATATACAACACACACAGAGTATAAAATAACCTGTATATTAATATTAACAGTGAATGTGATATATTTCATGCAAAATATGTAATAACCATATAAGTTGAAAAGAAAACTAGGTCAGGTACAACACAACAAAAATAAGTACATTAAAGACCAAAAATAAAGAGGTGAGATAGTAAAACCACCACTAATGCAGATTAACATCTAAAAAAAATTACTAGAAGAATAAAAATATAAAGAGAAATCTAGAATGAGAGCGAGAGAGAGAGAGAGAGAGAAAAGAACACAATGATATTATTGATGAAATAAAATGACAGTTTTCTTTCTTTTTTTGTTGTTCTTTTTCTATTCTATTATTTATTTCGATTTTAACTAAAAGTGAATTTATTATTTTAAT